GGCCTCCCAAAGAAAGTCTTCCTCCGTTTGAAACTCACGGAGCTGAGATGTAGAGACCTTTAGAGCCCAGAAGCAATAATCCATCAGGAATCCCAGCTCCAGAAGGCCAGATAAATGCTCCCCCGTGTTTCATTCAAGTGTGAGGAGGGCATCTCGGAAACCTCAAACCCCACTGATACCTCTGCTTTTTCTGGTCCCTGTTTCTTTTCCTTTATCCCTTTATTGTTTACCACCTCTGATCTTCCCTCTCAGTCCTTCTCCTCCCTGCCTGTTGGCCTCTGCTCTCTCCTTATCACTTCTTCCTTAGATCAACCTTTAGATACAAAATGGAAATAACAACCGGATTCCTTTTCTTGGAGAAATCACTAACCTTTCTATTTGATTGTCCTGAGAGCAGAAACTTGTCTCTCTAGAGAAACGAATATAGAACAGGAGACAAGAATTGGTATAGACCCAACACTGTTTTTGAGTTGTGGTAGCAAACATAAACTTAGAAGTGAGAACTTAAAAGGCTTTGGGGGTATTTTCACATTAAAGGGTTATATTGTGTTTATCAAGTGTCACTGTGTAGAGTGAAATGTAATCCATTTCACCAGTAGGTTCCTATATTTCTTTTCTCCCTACCGCCTGGTTTTTAATACTTGAAACCACTGTGGAAAGCTCTCAGAATTGTTTTAAAGAAAGTTATTCTTGTATCAGAATTAGGAAGGATTGGTAAGATTATTAACTCTTGTCCAAGATCTAGAACAGGGATGAACAGTTGTTTTGGTAGCAAACATTTGTTTAGCCTCTTGTAGGAATTCCGCATTACTTAAATGAATAGGCTCATTAATGAGCAAAGACGGGCCAGTGGTCAAAACAGCTGCACCCTCTACCTCTCTGATCTGGAAAACAAAGAATTCCATTTTGGGGTGTTAAATAATAGACTTTAATCTGGAGTTTGGACATAACTTGATTTTGATAGTCATTTAGAGTTCTATTCACCCAAACCATATTTTCTTATCCTTTCTTCCTACAATTATTGGGGTCAAAAAGCCATAATTTTTTTTTTTCAAAATACCATAAAAGTATAAAGGAACTTAATGACCATGCACTTACAGAAGCTACTCGGAGGTATAACCATGAAGTGAATTCTTATTGGAGTGGAGGCCACATGTGTTCTATTATACATCCTCCGACAAAAATGGAGACATGAGAGGATAAGAAAACGGCAGGTAACATGCAACGAGCACATTGAGCAGGTGCCAGGCTGTGTGAGAAGTGCTTTCTGAACCTTGTGTAATTTAATCCTCACAATAATCTTAACGTCGTTGGGACTGTGTGTTAGCCCCATTTCACAGGTGGAGAAACTAGCACAATGCATCTGGGTAACTTGTTCAGGATCACAAAGCCAGAAAGTGACAGAATTTTGAATCCGAGAAAACTCGCCTCTGGAGCCTGCCCTTTTAGCCACTATGGCCTCCGGCCTGCTGAGGATGGTCCATATAGCCTAGAGACCCCTTTACCATGAAGACTGTATGAAGTCCTAGCACATGTACTAAGATCTCAACAAATGCAGAGAATGTTTCCTTCTTCAATACTGAGATGAAAAGACCCCGAGAGTTATGTAATATAAGAAAGTATCCTTTTATGGTTACCAAGGAGACAGCTCTTACAGCCTTACCTGTTACATCTTCAAAGGATTGCTCACCTGAGCTGTAAAAAGGGGCTCACACACACCAGAAGATTTCACTAATGCTCCCCCTGCCCTAACTTCTGGGCTTTGGGGAAATTAAAAAAGTGGCCTCGGGTAAACGAAGCACTAAATGTTCAACAAAATAATTACTATGGACAAAAGTGTGTGTTTACGTTGGGAGTGAGGTTGTCAGAAGAATTTATGGCCTAAGTTGTTTTTCTAGAACTGACGTGGTAGTTGGACTTTTGTGGCTCTGTCCGCGTTCATCTGAATCCACTTAACCTCAGGTGCGTTTGTGGCTATGCCTACAAGGTCGGCTCCCTGGCTTGAGGGGAGGCGGAACCTGTGTCCTCAGCAGCCTGTGGTGGCTGAGGTGTAACCAGCCATAGTCCAAAGTGTCATCGTCACTCAGTGGCTCCCGTTGGCAGCTCCTGCTCTGTGTTCTGTCATTGCCCCAGCTGTAAGAATGTTCACCTTCCCCGTGTGGATGCCTGGATGATTGCACGTCTCAAACCCAACTCAGAGGGGTAACAACTTCATCAGCCTCCTAGCCCCACAGCCCCTTCTCTCGAGTTCTGCTTTGGCTATTGGCGTGAGAGCCCTCGCCTCACACACCTTTCCAGGTGCTGCGATTAGCAAGTGGCCTCAAGGAAAGGAACCTGCTGATGCTGATGTAGACACAAGTTTCGGAATTATTCAGAAGTGGGTTGGAACAATTCCTTTATTCCAGAGTTTTCTGATGTGTATTAATAGTGGAAAAACTTCCATGTTCAAGGGAGTTTGGAATATACTGGGTTAAAAGAGTTGAACAGTTTTCTGCAAAATTCTCAGAGCCCTTAACGTGATGATGGGGACTGTGAATGTGTAATAGAGGACCCAGCATCTCCCAAACTGACTTCACCACAGGTTCCCTCTTTGGCAGACATATTCTGGAATCAGTGTGCCATAGTGGGTGGTAACATAGGGAGTGGACCCTGACCGCTAAATCCAGCTCTGCAACTCCCTGTGGCCTTGAACAAGGTACTTAACCTGTGATGAGTCTCCTCATCTGCAAAATAGAGATTGTGATGATGATGATGATAATACCCCCTTCATAGGGTTGTGGGTAGTAAATGACCATATACATCCGTCTGTCTCCCTAAGTGTAATAAGTGTTAGCTATTGTTATCACTACTCAGCCCTCCATTTACTAATAATATAGGTCCCATGTAGATGTCAAGTGTAAATTTCAGAAGTTAGAGAAAATTCCTTGTGACCTTCATATAATAAAAGGAACATCTGAAGTAGGGAATCGTGTAGAGGCTTTGGATTTGGGGGAAACTCGGTAGAGTTTCCAGTTTAAATCGTCTGTCTAGTCAGTCTGGCCAGTTGTAATCCAGTGAGAATGCTGACTTTGAGTATCTGAAGGTAAAATAAAAGAAAAAGGGAAAAGTGAACAGTGGCAAGAATTCTTCTCCTAGTCATCTAATTTGGACTAGGTTGAAAAAGAAAATGCCAAGTTCTGTGTAACGTATACCAGTAGACATCAAACACTTAAAATCCCAGCTTCCTGGGTGTAAGCTATGGAAAGAATGAAGCTGGTGGCTGATGTGTGTGTGTGTGTAGCTGGGGAAGAAAAGGCTTAGGCAGCAAATTAAGAAGGTAGCCATTCATTCAAACAGTAAAACAAATACTGGTTCTCTGGGTTAAAAAGATGGAGCTCTGTTTTGAGCAGTTCACATTCAAATGGAGGATTAGAGTGTAAACAACCAACTATAATAAGCTTTAAGATAGAGGTACTAGCATACATAGTGTTAGGGAATGGCAGAAAATAACTCCACTAAAAAGATAGGAGGTGAATTGTAGAGGGGAAGGCCTGGCCCATAGGAAACTGATGCTCGCGCGCGCGCGTGTGTGTATGTGTGTGTGTGCGCGCGCACAGTTCAGGAGGGGAGACTTGCATTCTAGAGCAGGACATTCAACCTGGGAGGCTGCGCGTGAGCCCCACTAAATCCAAACGGGAGGCTTGATAGCTTGTCCTTCAACAGACGGGTCCAAAATGACTCTATAAAGGAAATGCCGTAAATCACCGCTGTCAGGGCGCACACTCCACCGCCCGGCTCCGTCCCCACGGCCGCCCTCGGGTCCACACCCCCCTCAACGGCTCGGGGGCGAGCTCGCGGTCTGAGCAGCGAGAGGACTTCTGCCTCTAATCCCAGCACGTCACTTTGTTGGAGGCAAGCACGTGGTTCAGAGGGAACTTATAAATCTCTCCTCCCAGGCAAGATCGTGATGTTATCTGCTGGCAGCAGGAGGTTCGCTCCGAGGGGAGCTCCGGAAGCTCCCAGCGAGCGAGCGAGCGAGCGAGCGAGACAGACAGACAGAGAGACAGAGCAGAGAGACAGAGCAGAGCGCCAGGGAAGGGGCTGGGGAACGGCATGGACGCGCCTAGCGTAACGGTCTAGGGAGCCGCTCAGCATCAAGCCGCGGGGCTGCCCGGCTGCAGAGGGGAGACCGACAGGGAGGGTCTGCTTCAGGGCGCCAAGTGCCGACCTACCCCAAGCGAGAGAGTCCAAGTGGGGCAGAGACCAGGCGAGGGGGGAGAGGGTAACCGTCCGAGGAAAGCCCTTCGCACGCCCCCGCCCCCGTAGGAATAAAGCGCCCCCGCCCGCGCTCCCGGGGGGCGAGAGCCACGGCGGCGGCCGCCGCTCGTCTGTTGCCGGGTTGGCGTTCGGAGCGAGAGCAGCAGCAGGAGGAGCAGAAGGAGGGCGCTGGAGGCCGGACGCGTCTGCCAGCGGCAGCGGCGGCGGCGGCGGCAGCGACGTGGAGTGACCGGGCGGGTCGGCGCGCGCGGCTCCCGGAGCGGGATCCTCGCCGGCGCGGCA